TCCTTGTCGTTGCCTTCGTTGTATCATAAAGATATTTCACTCTTCCTTCTCTTGCAGCTTTATTGGCCGTTATTGCTGATATGATGGAAAGAAAAGTCAATTTTTGATTGAATTACTCATTATGAGTTTTATTCAACATTACATCCGTTTTGATCCAACGTGAGGATCACTCAGTGTAGTATTTGATTTGTCTTTCCAGTATGATATTTTCTTCTGTTTAATATACGATATTCTTGTATTCAGTTGACATGAACTATGCTCAGTAAGTGATTTGTTATAACTGAGTATGTGATCTAATCCTAATTATTAATCAAAATGGGTGTACTTTCGATATATAAACCAGTGTATTTTAAACTATTTTTTATTTGTAATCGTCATAGTGTTTTGGGGCTAATAAATCTTCACTTATACCAGTCTTGTGTTCTTACTTTTGCATCATGGGGATTGCCGTGGTCCCTCATTCCGAGTATAAGTGATCAGCGTTTTTCCGGCACAGCAATCAGTGACGACAAAATATAGCAGTTGCTAGGTTGTTCACATACTTCCACTTATCAGCATGTTGAAGTTATTGAGTGCTTAACTACTTTCCAGTCGTTCGTCGTGGTAGGATCCTCTTCTTTGAGCAAGTGTTGAAAGGCGCGGAAACTATTGCTGAGATTTATCTTGAATTCTCTGAATTCGCCAACATTGCTAAGAAAAGCTGTATTCAACCTTTGTAATCCTGTTTATCCAGTTGTCCAGTGCTTCTTTAGCCACACTTTCGTCCTGGCCACAACCAGGGGGTGACCTGAAGTCATATCAGCTACTTTCATGGTTCCTAAGTCTTCCATTGACCTTATGAATATTTTAGTGATGTAAATACGATCGATCTGGCACTCCGTGGTGTGGTCCAGTGAGATGCATGTAGCTTTGTGTATTCATTTATGTGGAAATATTGTACCGCCTATAACCACTTTGTTGAGTGCACATAGATTTGCGAATCTCTTTTTTCATTTTAGATTCTCTCTCCCGATCCCTTTCATCCCATGATATCTTGGTACCCGGTGTTGTCCATTTTGGCGTTTAGTTTTACCATGAAGATCGTTTCCTGGATACTTCGCTTCAACCGAATACAACCTCTGGTAAAACTGATCTTTATTGTCGTTATTGCTATCATTAGTGTGTGCTGAAAATCGGATAAAATTCATTGTGATGATTCTGGGTCCATGAGATTCCCGTCCTATGAGTGCTATTCAGGCTATTTTGGACAACATCCGAAAATTTCTCTCAGTGTGTGGAGTATTTTCTTCTCTATGACTTGAGTACAACAGTATCTCTCCCGAATCTAACCTTTGTTGTTCAGCTTGGGTCAAATGGGTTTCTCATTCCGATCACGACCAAGTTGTATGTTCTCATTTCTATAGCTGCTTGACTGGTCGTCCCGACCTTCCACAATGTCCGGAAACTTCATGTGCCTATATTAACTATTGTTGCGGTTGTCAAAAGTGGCATATGCCTCAGGACTTCTGAAGAATCTCGGCACTCACTATGAAGCATCACATTTCTTGTAAATGGTGATTCCTTAACCCTGAGATTTGCTGTGGTAGAAAAACTTTGCCACGCCTCTCTAAGTGCATAAAACATGAAATTCAGTGCTCATCAAGCTAGCTGGCGGCTTGAGTTCGCTGCTTTATACATCAAAAACCGAAACACTCTTCTTTGTGCACACATAGACTACCGTTGGCCTGCGCCTTATGAATCATGGTAACGTATTCATGTCGGCTCCTATGGCCATTTTTTAATTTGTTACGTTATAAAGTTATTATTGATCTATATTCTAAATAGCCAGAGACTGTACCCACGAAAAGGTTAAGCAAATACGTCATAATTAAGAACACTCTAGAACGCACCATAATCCAGCTAAACACCTTAATTCTCACATATTTCGAATTCATTTAACGAATAAAACACCATCAGAAGTAATGACTTACAACTGTTTACGGATATTAAAAGAAATCGCCGGTTAATGAAGTGGGTGATTCCAATTATAATTCTGATTATTCTTTAAATAATCCTGCATCTATAGAGAATTCTGAACTATAGATAGATATTCCCAGTTTTAATTCTTACGATTCATATATTATTAATGACTTTAGACAACCGTGAATTTCACAGAGATCAAGAGATTTAAAATCAGAATGTTGAGCGATTGAAATGTTACAGAATCCTAAATGAATAAAGACAACATTAATGACACTGTCATAAAGCCAATGGGTGGTATGTGTATTAAAAACACGCTAAATGCCCTTCCACAGCATATTATTAGACAGTATTGCCATTCTTTGTTTCTCCTCCCTGTCTTGTATTTGAGCCTCTGTCCAAGTCTTTTCAACCAAACTTTATGTTCTTCGTCTCCCTTATCGTGGCTTTTGCTACTTGATTTTGGTTCAAGATTTACGTTTTATTACTTAACCTACTGTTCCACGTTGCTGGACCACTGACAATAAGGTCGCAGTTGACTAAACTCAAATCAGTGTATGACCGTTAAACTTTTTTTGCTTGTAAAGGTTGCTGGAATCCATGCAGATTTACATCTGATCATATAATGCTGGAGATATTTTTATGGATTCGCAGTTATTGAATCCTTGTTTATTAACTATTCCTTTTCTTGATTAGCATGTTAGTTTGTGCTCACCAAGCCCTCGACTTTGTAGGACAGACTCTACCGTCTGAGGTCTTCGTTGCTTTTTATATAACTTATTCTCGTTTTTAAATTACATCTGTTTAAATTTAACACAGAGTTTGGGTTTTGATTTAAGACCAGTCGCTCAAAAACGCTTTAGACACATTGCAGAAGAAAATAGTTTGACCTAATTTGCTTTGGTTCGTTAGTTCTGCGTTCAAAATGAATTTTGGTATTTCGGTCGTTACAGTTGGTGTGATGTACAGCCGATACATTTACAGTACAATTAAAAATTTTGCTGTATCTAAGCCTGCCATAACAGCTGCGACACAATTTGGTACTCTGTACTTCTAATTCGCGTCCCCGCCTGTGTCTTCTCAGTGGGCTAGGCCAATTCGAACTAAGTGTCCTGTTTGACATTTTGAAGTTTACTATAGTATTGATGAGGTCTGTTATCGAAATAAGCTTACTCATCTCGTTAGAAAAGATATCTCGTCTTCATAAACGTGATAAACTCTCACAGATCTTAAGCATACAAATCACCGAAACCGATAATAAAGTTAAAAACTACCTATAATTATATCCCTAAAGCAAATACCTCGAAGGGAATGTTGTTGCTTCTTCAAACCAGTTGAGTTTCTTTCGGATGAAAAAAGTCAGGAAATAACCCATTGGTAACATTTTATTTGAACTAAAAAGTCTTTACTATGGAATTTAGCACAAATGAATGGGAAAGCTCACCTGCAACCAACCGATCATCTCGATTGTCGTTTGATATGGTGTTTACTTGTAAACTAGGACTGCCCAAATAAAGTGGTAAATGCAGATAAACCCTAAATAGATGGTTAAACCCATACTGTTTTTTTCCTCATACCCTATCTTGAGTGACTTCTGAGGAACGCGTCACCAAGACCAATTCCAGTTAACCTGGTTGATCTTAGACACAAAGGATTATCAATCAACAGAGCTTTTTTATTAGTCAAAATAAAGCACTTACATGTTGGGTGACGTTCGAAGGACAGTGTCGTCGCATGATTTAATCACCGGTCTCAGGAAACGCATAAAAATCGACAATAAAATTTACTACGATGGTATTAGAACTATCTTTGAAAGGCATTGTGACCTAGTGAATATGACTCCATTCAAGTGAATGGAAAACAGAGTATATATAAAGGCCCTTCTGAAGAGAAAAGTTTACAATCCTATCGGTATTCAAAGAGATGATAGGTTGATCATTCCAACTTTTAATGCGTAAGAGAATCCACTAAAAGGAGAGAAGATATTTTATTCATCAAAATCTGTGGAGTTCCATATCATAGTCGATAGTAAAGTTAACCTTTGTAAGTCCTTTCAAAGTAAGGTCTGACAATGAGGTTGATGCAAGAAGTACATAAGTAAAACACTCTGGGTGCTATCTCACAGTAATTTATAGTAGACTTTATTTTAATGCTTTCATCCTCCTTAGGGGCTACGAAGGAATTATATTCCTCACTATTTAAGACTCCTCTTTCTCTTCTCAGTGAAATAAAAGGGGCTATCAATCACTTATGTTTTTAGGGATGTTTAAAAATCCTCAATAACTACTCATTAGATCGATGAGCTAATGATTACCAATGTGGTCAGGCGTATCTTCGTGAATATAGGACTCGCGACTGTAAATAACTGCAGCGCTAGAGCTGCGTTAGCCCATCTTGTCTTACCTCATATTTATCTTGCGGCAGTAGCGCGATAAAACTGTTCGGTTTCAGATGAATGGATCAAAAACTTGTGCGTACTAAGACGATTATTATTACAACCTCGGAATGAATACGCTAATCAAAATACACACAGCCCCAGTGGGATATAAAATTAGGCCACAAAATCCTGTTTTCAATGATGGCATGGATACCTCGAGAAGGGCATAGGGGACTGGTCCCTGTGCAATTTTAGAGTTCTGTGCCCTGCTATCTATAATGCGGTTCAAGAAATAAGACCTCCTTACTCTGTTTTCCCTCAGACTGAGAAGTGATCCAATTTGGTTTTGGACCTCACATTAGGCTCATAACAGTTTGTAGTACATGAAAAATGTTTTTTAAGATTTAAAGGGAACCAAAAGAGCTCAATAGAAAGGAAACAACATAGACTGTTCATCTTCCATCTTTGATACATAAATATGAATCGGAAACTTGGTACATGTCTGAGAGGGAATCGTAACAGTTCCACATAAGAAGACTTGAAACAAACAGATAAAGTGAGATGACTATTACGTCACACACTCTCAACCATGCTGATATTAAACGGCTTGTTGAATATAACCATTGTTTAAGTACAATATTAAGACTATAAACTTTCGACCTTCAGCCAGCGGGCTTATTCTCGGATAGTCGGTACTACGATTTATGGACGGACCAATGGAATGAAGTATAGCGTGTCTTGGACTTAGGCGCGAATTTTAGTCAGCCGTATAATTAAATAACATTTTGAAACTATAGCTGATGTCAGTTCTTGATGAAAATCTTCAGTTTTATTCATAACCTTGAATTATGGTTCTGTTTCTTCATAATAATATGTAACCCTCTTTCGATCATAAGTATGCTTATTTTCTCAAGGTCACTAGCGTCTCTAAAAGGTTTATAAATTACAGTCCCATCATCAGTATGACAAAGAATGGAGAATCCTCACCATTTTTTCACGGTAGGCCTCAAAGTCGACTTCTAGCGCGCTCCCACACCTTGGTTTGCTTGGGTTTTTAGTCAATGAACTGACATTGTTTAGTTGCTACTGATAGACAGTTTCTTAGTGAATAGCGAACGTACGTATGCATTACTAGGATTTTCGTCGTGAACTAACAGCTTGTTTGGTTCGTCCAGATACTTCATATTTAGCTTATAGTATACTGGCTTTCCATATATATATACTCCTAGTACCACACGATAATTTGATAGGTTGTGTATCTACGTTCATTCGAGGTCTTTGTAGCGATGATAATGACTTCCCTGGCTTTTTTAAAGCCGGTTTTTGCTGGTCCTGGTTTTATATTCTTGTAATGAGTTTTAGAAACTTCGAACATAAACTCCTTGAAATTACGAATCGAAGTGACCTCAACATTCAACTTCTTAGCTGCAGCATAGTAGTGTATATTTGTTTCCAGGTCATGCATTAGTTATTCACGAGTATTACAGTTCGACATCATGATAATACTTCACTAACGATGAACTGCTGTTCGTTGTGCATTACCGAAATGCGGATATGATTATTTTAATCTGTCAACTATTGGTCTATCCATTCATCTAAATCACCTTAAAGTTCGAACTCACTTGGATCGCCATTTATTTTAAAAAACCTTTACATTACCTAGGAACACGAATGTAGACTCAATAAATTTATTAATTCGTGGACATAGAGTGAAATTAATAGATCTAAAGTCGCACCTTACGGTACATCAAATTTCACAGACTTCCATCCAAACTCCCCGCCTACTTTTTGTTTTTTGACCACTTAAATTTCATTATGCCTGTGGAATGTCTTTTATATCGAAGCAAAAGTGTTTGGGTCTAATTTTAGTGATGCTATGCAAGTAGTCAGAACTTTAGTGTACATTTTGACAAAATAATTCATTAAACTCTTCGCTTTTGGTTTATCCTGACGAAATTATATACTTCACGTTTTTCCAGTTAATTTACGTTTATTTTGTAATTGGAGCTGTTAATATGTACCTTCATGTTTTCAAACACCGGAAAGATAGTTTAAATTCTCTTGCTTTTCAGATATCGTATCACTATGTCAATCTTAGCAACTGGATCGCTCATAGTTTTCGGACTGTTTTTTATATTTAAAGGCTTGCGCAGGCACTTTCGTTTCGAAGTAAGTTTTTTTTGTTGGTAGCAATTTTTTATTGATAGATCGATAAAAGCTCAGGACACTATGGGGGCGAGCTGGTTGCAGATGTCCTGAAGGTAACATAACACTATTGATATATTTGTAGGCGCATAATGTACCATTTATTTTTACGCTTACTGGAGGCCACATATCACCGATATTGGTTGCTTCAGAAAAAGAAAATATACGTGTGATAGATGTAAGAAACGAAGCTTCTGCTGTCTTTGCTGCTGATGCTGTTTCAAGACTTTCTGGTTCCGTTGGTGTGGCTGTTGTTACAGCAGGTAAATTTTCCTTCAAATGTCATTTCCTTTCACTTTGTTACTGCTTAGAACAGCACTCGGATTACACTAACATGCAGCGATCTGACAGCACATATCTCTTTACACTTGAGTTTTGTGTTTTTTAGAAATTACCTAAATAAGTACGGAAAATAGCTCTAATAAATTTGCACATAATTTTCAAAGCCGCAGTAGGCAGTCGAAATTATTACTTATAATCTGTTTGAGGCAGACATACTTGCAGCGAGCTGAGGAAAAACAAAACTTACTCTACTTATTCTGAAATTTAACCAGTCACTAACCCACTCAACTCAGGGAGACTATAAATATAAGTGATATCGTCAACGTGTCTGACTAGCTAACCCTTCATTGTAAGGCTGCACTCATGAAAAACAGCCTTTAAACAACGTTTGACGCTTGTAAAAAGAAAATTCCGTCCCGGACTTCGTCATCATCGAATTTTTTTAGTGAATTCACCAAACACAACTATTTTATCTGTAAAGTTTATATGAGAAATGAGTATCATGATCGATTAATCACCAATAACTCAAAGCTATCTTTGACAAGACTGATTCCAATTGCACTTTCCCATTAGCTGTCATTTGATCACTTGTGTTTAAGTAAGAAGCCTCAAGCTAGTTGAAATAATTCCTTGATACAAGAGTTAATGATTATTATAAAATGTCTTTTAGTTCAGGAAGTATTTGATTTATATTTTCTCGGTGCGGTTTTAAGTATGCCTGGTTTTATCAGATTTTCTATTTCCGAGCAGCAAATGACTACAGAAGCTAATAGATTTCGCTATCCTGGTCATACTGATCAATTTGCGGTTATCACAAGTGAATGTACTTTCTCTACACTGGGACGATCAGCTACCTCAATCAACCACCATCAGCAATCTTTAAAAATTCCCTCAATTAAATCAACTGAACGTTCTGGTAAAAAAACTTTTATAGCTAGTGTTTGTCATTGGCCTTTTGCAAGGTGCCCAATGTACTTGGAGATGTAGGGTATGAGGTGTAAATTGTTTACTCCAATCACCAAACTATTCAGTATGTTGCTCAGTAGTTTAGGTTTTCACTTATTTTGTCAGTGTCTACTCCAGTTTAGTTTTCTCAATCTTAGTTCATCAGCAACCTTAATACCATAAGTATGATTTTTAGTCCGAATGTGTAAAGTGGCTAACATTTGTGCTATCACAGTTATAGAAAATTGATGACCTAACAGGTTCATGTTAATTAATCAATGATCTGACCTCTTGGATCTCATTGATTATTTCACAAACTATAACTTCGTTCCATCTACATTACTTTTGAGAGTTTAGTAATGTCTCCAACTCTTACACAGTATTTGTGGCCCCAAGCCAAGTACACAAGTCTGCAATCGATTACCTAGTTACAAGTCTTTTAAGCAGTAGGATAGCTTTGTATAAATTTTGAGTATAGAAAGTGTGTTCTATGCAGTTTCGCTTCCATATCTAGCACCAACAAAGAAGTACTTTTAGATTTGAAGTCACCAAGTCATACATTTGTGATTCTCTTTGTAGTAAAGTTGGTCTAGTAAAATGTTCAACTTTTTCCTCATCTAACTCATAGGTCCTGGTCTTACTAATACGGTGACAGCAGTAAAGAATGCTCAGATGGCTGAATCTCCTGTAGTCCTTCTAGCTGGAGCTGCTTCTGGACTTTTACGTGGTCGTGGATCACTTCAAGATATCGACCAGCTTGCTGTGTTCCGCCCAATTTGTAAATGGTGCAGACGTATAGATTACGTCAGAGAGATTATCCCTGTTCTTTGTGAAGCATTTTATATTGCACAATCGGATACTCCCGGTAAATTTATCAATTCCCAGTGGTTAATATATTTAGTAACATAATTACTGTAGATGACGGAAGATTATTTTTCTATTGCATCTGTTATGATTGTCGGTCCAATTCTATTGAATTAGAAAAGGTTCTTTGGTTTTCCTGGAACTAATTAAACTTGATGCTGTATATAAAGTCTCAGGCAGTAAGATTATTGCTAGATATAAAACTAAGTTGGGAGTTAAATTACAGGATGATTCACAAGTTACCCATTATGGTCACTATTATAATCCAGTAGGATATAAATCTACATATACGTATTGCTTGTCAGATAACTTAATTAGATTTCATTTTGAGGAGATACCAGGCTTTTTTGGTGCTATTATATTGAACACTTTTCAACTTTATCATCTAAGTCTTATGATGCAGCTACTTTCATACCCAATCAGAAAAAGTTGTTCTGATTGCAACACTAAGCACCGGTATTTCTGTGACTAAACAGATGTCTTTAAGGTATGGTGCTGATTGGCACAAGCTTCTCTTGCTCCCGCTAAACGTACAATGATCTTATTTGCCTGACTATTATCAGCACCCACGTCTACCCAGGTATACTAACGTCTCTATTTTTTCTCGTCACTTTGAGCCCTAGCTACTATGAAATTGCACTTTCTGACGTTGCTTCACTGTTTTAAGGGTCAAACTTCCAAGTTAATGATTAAAGGGTAGTTTCCTGAGATTACTTGTTTTGATTTAACCTCCGAACAGTATTTTACCTTTCATACAGGGTATTATTGGAAGAGATTGCTTTACAGGCTATAAAATCCATAACTATTTTATCATAAATAAATTGATTTTATATCAACTTAAATCTGCAAAAAATATATGTACATGATACCAGTTAAAATCACACCGACATTTACATTTCTAGTCGCCTTATAGTGATTTAAGGTTTATGATTTTCAAAACGATCATTCAAATTACTTGTAAAGTCTCTGAAAGCTGCTCAGTCAGTCAGTCAGCTACAACGTAGGACCAGGCACATATATGGACCGGTTGCCATACCTCATTAACACAACAAGATGGACACCGGATTCATAAAAGTAGTTAATTCAGAGGTGGTAATATATTAAAGAAAGATTGCAATAAGGATATAGCACAGAAAGGAAGATATGAAGTGGTTTTAATCTCTTAGTTTAAGGGAAGACAGAGTGTATACACCGACGCCATTGTGATCGGTTCTGAGCCATGTCACCAAGAGTCTCCAACCATTGGTTACGATAGTCACGCGGACCCCAACCAAGTAGTCTGCATCTTCCAACATGGCTCAGACTAGAAGTTAGTGACTTCAAGTACTGATGCCAAGTTTTGGTTTGGACGCCCCTACATTTCTTTCAACCATCCCGAACACCGGTTAGCATCGCACGTCGTGGTAATCGGTGTTCAGGCATACGTAACACGTGGCCCAACCATCTCAGTCGATGAAGATTCACAACCTCATCAACTGATTTACCATCATTTCCTAATAACTTGAGTCTAACCTCACCATTACTTACCCAGTGACCCAGCAGACGCCAGCAATATTTTTTGAGGCATCTGTGGTCAAATACTAGTAGCTTACGAGTATCTTCTACTCTTGATGGCCATGTTTCGCTGCCGTAAATTAAAACAGAACGGACTGCCGCGCAGTATACTCATCCTTTTGTTGATAGACGGATATCTCACCTGCTCAGCTTGAATTACATTACAATTTTAACTTTCAAACTGCTTTTTTACTGGTAGACCATTCATGCCTTAATTTTAAGGTCTGTTATTAAGTTTCGAATTCACGAAAATGTATTAGCTACTATGCATATATGTAGTGGGGGCGACTACATTAAATTAATCATATATTCTTCAGACTATATCGTATTTGTTTTTGCTTAAATCTGCCTTATGAACTAATCGCATGGAATTTCTTACTAATTTCCGAGATATATTTTTGATAATAGTATCTTTTTTTTCAAATTATTAAGGACCAGTTTTAGTTGAGTTTCCGATCGATCTGTTATATCCATATAAATTGGTTGAACAGCATACTAAATTGTCTGACAAAACAAATTCTTTAAGGCAGAAGATTGTAAATTGGTAAGTAGATTTAATTACACTTTTTCTGCATAGTTCGAGTGTGTTTATTTGTCTAGATTAGTAATATTCTCATACTCAGCAGACTTACAACTTTTGCTTTCTGTGCATTCAGTTAATCCACTGCATGATTTTAAATAAAGCAAGAACGAAATTACTTGAGAAATATATACATGTAGGGATTTAGTAGACATTCTTTTAGAGTTGTGGCTGTTATTCGTCATGGATTGATCTCAATCGGCGTACGACTTGAAGCGTGTTTCGTTCTTAGATGGAAGTCAGTTAAGTACCCCCCCCAGAAGATCAAACAGTGGATTTTGTTACATATGCTCGAGTTACATACTAGCTACTTAAGAAATACTTTGGGAAGAAATCTATACTCATCACAGTTAAAAAAATGAAATGTCCAAAAAAGTAATTGAAAGTTGGTATTATAATGTGATGATAAGCAACATTTTAAAATAGTTTCGTTATGTATTGAAACGAAGGAAGATTGATACTTAGTGCCACCGATCGAATGCTGTGGCGCAATCAACTCCCCAGTTATCAGTTTCAACTGCTTAATAAACCAAGTTCTCAGCTTCAACCATAAACTCTGTCAATATATGCCACTCCAAGTAGATATAGGATCTTTGACATTGTTAGTGCTCAGTAAATATTCCCACTGAGACACTAAAAAGACAAGTTGAGCGAAGGAATAATTTTTTTCAATTATTTCTCCATCAACCCTCTACAATAATATACATGCTTTATAAATGAGTAGAAAGTCGAGACCAATTAGATAGGGATGAGTCAATTTAACAAAATAATAATCAGTTAGTCACATAACGTTTGGAAAACTAAGATTCATATTAAAACTAAAGTGAACTCTCATTGTCAGTTAATTACTACAAATAGTTACATAATGAAAGGTGGATGTTATCGATGAAACTGATGATAAATAATTAGGATGGGTGCAGTGAAAATTGTTGGTGCTTACTCCTAATGATTTCCGATAGTTAAGAATAAAAATATCTCCATTTATTCCTTAGTACCTATCAACAATGTCGTGTGCTGTAACTAAGATACTTTTTTTGAGAATTGATGAAGAAAGTTTGCAGCTCACGTGAGTAGTTTTTGGTGTTGTTGTGCTCTCTGAAGTATATAGCTTAGTTGTGAAGCTTTCATTGTTATTCTGGACAGCATCACCAAGTCTTAATTCTACATAAATTAAACACTGATGATCTCTAGAACAACAGTAAAAGCTTCGCAACTAAGTCATGTAGTTCAAAGAGCTTAAAAACATCAAAGTACTTTTCTTCAAGACTGGCTAACCTGTCCATAGTCAATTAACTATTGCTTTGTATCTAGTATAGGCTACAACAGTAATTGATGCGGAAGAGATAGCTCATAAAGATAAATATATGGAAAATACGATGAAATAACAGGGTGATAACCACTCATTAATGTATTCAATTTAATTTACTAAAAAATAAGTACCCTATTTTCTTTTTAATCTTTCTGCACCTATTTCTAAAAGATCTAGTGCTACACAGCTTACACTTGTCTGTCACTCTTTTTTATACCATTCCGTTCTTTTCAGGTATCTACGTTTCTATCTTTTCAATTTATTCGCCAATGGTTTCTCATCGAAATCACATCCATCCAAAACAAACGGTTTAGATGGAATTGTTGTCAAATCACCGAAAATTCCGCTTCCATCTAAAAGACAAGTGAAGAAATTAGTTCAGCTGATAAAACTTTCTGAAAAGCCAATCTTACTTATCAGTAGTCAAGCTGTTTTACCTCCGATTTCAGCTAAAGAGACAGCCGTTCACGTTCAAGTAAATTTATCTAAATTCAGCATTTGCTTATTTTAAGTTTATGTATAAGTTTTAAACACCCTTTTTCGAATACCATATTGTACACACCGTAGCCGGTATTTGGATATCTTAACGAACAGTAGGTTCCTGAGGGTTGTTGATGTTTTCGTATTGTAATGGCTATGGCATGTTTTGTTTTCTGTCAACCGAATCTTCCTCTCATTCTTGGAAACTTAACTATGGTAGATGCTAAATCAAAGAACCTTCAAAAAATTCATACCACACCATAAACATGCTTAACTAGACTGTTTGATGTGCTGACTTCATCCGTTTATGCTTCTTCAATGGAGTCACTTTGGCAATATCAGTCATTAATTAAGACTTTAAATATCATAGTCTTTACACTTCATTAAGACTAACCAATCTTTAACAAAAAATTATAAGTTTTGTTTTGTGGAATGGGGGGGGTTAAGCAGTAATGCACTTAGCTTTCAACGTTTAGGTTGTCGATTTCCAATCCCTCTTCATTCACTCTAGCTTAGGAAATTGATTACTATTACCAGCTTTCGAACAACAAGCGTGGCTCCTTTGCTGTTTGGCACATGTCTCATCTTTGGAGTTGGTTCTGTCATCCGCCACGTGTATACAGTGAGTAGGGCTTCCCTAACAGGGGCCATCAATCTAAGTACTTGCTCATCAATGATTGCAGTTACTCAAATGACTTAATTATAGTATCACAAATACTGTAAAGAAGAAATACGTATTTCTGTGTGTAGATTTTGTATACCTTACTTTGTCAATTCTTTTATTAACTTCTTAATCTCACTAATTTAACTGCTTTGGTGATTTCTACCTTAAACACCGTTATGGTCATAAGTGAATTGATTCTTAAGAATCTAATCATTGTTTACATGTTCAGGTCATAACACGTTATTGTCATGTAACTAATACACAGTAGCGAAAATTCTGAGATCGAAATTAATGTTTTTTGTGATTGTTTCTATTCATTACTTCGTCCATTTTTTTCTACCTTTCAGTTGTATTTGACATTCAAAAATAAAAGTTATCAATAACACATTTGTGTTTGAAGGGATAGGCATTGGGTTCGAGTCTGGGTATGTGAGCATCAACACTGAGATGCAGGTATATATCTACCTGACGAGTTTCAAATAAATTGAAACGTGCTTTATGGATTTCACTACTTGTTATAATTCAACTTTACTAAAACTAGTGACGGAATAACAATAACGAGGCAATCTGGTCAGGGTAGACTTTACCAATAACCCCCTTAAATATGAACGATTTTGTTTGTTCGTAGCCCCAATTACACTGAAAGATGCTTTATCTGCTCTTATATAATCTATGTATCTTATCTAATATGATTAGTGCAATTTGTTACCATCTTTGTGTGACTACGTACGTTTTTTTCATTCCGTGTAATTTTTATCGACAAATTCATCAGCACGATGTTTCTCAACCTTAGTCGTTTCTTTTTAGACCTTGGGGATACCTACTTACATGTCAGGTATGGCTCGTGGTCTTCTTGGTCGAGATCACCAACTTGGATTTCGTCATGCCCGTCGTACTGCACTTCGTGAAGCTGATCTAATTATTCTCGCAGGTATTTATTGTTATGAATTTTGATATTATCACTAATCTACATTTTTTGTATTCATTGTTTGGGATTAATTATTGAATTGAGTTACTATGAATGTTTGTTTATTGGTTGTTTCGTGGATATCTTATGTTATGTTGTCGAATTAATTACCTTGGAACAAGGATGATAGGATCGTTTGTATGACGTATAGTTCTCAGTGACTTTCTAAATGGTAGGCAGGGTGCGTCTAGATATATTACGTTCTTTTAATCAAATACCATCTCAAATTCAAATAGTAGGTGGTGATAAACTGTAATCGAGAAATCCGACGATGCTCCTAGTCATAACTTTGGCTTACATGTCTTTCACCGGCTAGAAGAACAAATGTATGTATACCAATGATTTGTGTACCTATTTATTTGTTTGGTCAATTAAATCTCCCTAATGGTTTCTCAATCGGTAGCTAAACAAGCGTGTGCGAAGCATTTTTATCTGAATTGAACGTCGCAGAATGCAATATTGAATTGATTCTACTCCCGGTATTCCTATTGATTCATATATTTTAACGTGCATTGAATATATATATATGACCGTAGAATAGTCCTCAATGTTCCACATCGTATTTAACAAGTTTGGATAGTCGAGTTAGTAATTACACTAGCCCTCACACGAAAATGTAACTTAACATTAACTACAAAAACTGATACACTTGTTAATTTATTCATCTGATTAGCTTTCTAAATTTAAATGCTACTGTTCCCAATGGTAAACGATTTCTCTTTTAATTGTTCTATCAAATATCTGCCTTCATCATATACATTTTCTTGTTAAGTTTCTTCTAACTTTATAAAGTATTCTATCCATTTCTTCTTTTCAATCTATTATGTGTTTTCTTTTTGTTGTTTGTTTCAAAGGTGCCATTTGTGATTTTCGTTTAGATTATGGTCGTGTGTTAAATCGAAAAGCGAAGATTGTTGTAATTAATCGAAATAAGAAGAACTTATATCTTGTAAATTTATTGTTTCTTTTTTTTGGTAATATTTTTGACAATAAAGTTATATTTCTTTTATTATAACACAGTAATGTTTGAAATCCTTTACAATTTTATCTACACTGCTCATTTCCTGACTTTTCGAATAGTGTAATAATCCTTTTCCTAAATCATTGGTAATAGTGAGTTTGAATTATTCAACAAAGATTGGTCAAAATTCAAACCCCTTACTATTAATAATAGAAGTACCATACCAATCAAACACGTTTGTGTAGCTATCTGAACCCATTGGATTACAATAAGTAATACGTTGGGTATTCGAAACAAAACCTATTGTGTCTAAGTTTCTATGTAAACATCAACACACTTGGATGAAGGTACATTCAGTTGAAGAACCTTGGATTCCACTGATAACCATTTTTCATCTATCATGGAGAAATTCCTACTGTAGATCTATTCTAAATACAGCTATTAATGTCTGTTAAGTGCCTTATGCAAAGCCTGCTACCCGTCATTATGTTAAGTAACGTTAACGAAAACACTATATTGGTTAGTGTCACTATTTCTTAACAAAACAAGGTATCATTAAACACTTTAAAATACTATTGTGTACCGTCTATTGATTCAAAAATGTGGTGTATATGGGCACAACTGACCCTAAAGGTTTTCAGTTGAAGATAAATGTCTATTAGAAGCATTACTGATCTTTTCGATATAACTTCACATGATTCGTTGCAATAATTTCATCCATGAAACTTCCTACTTCATGAAATATTAGCTCTTATCAGTCTTTCGTACATGAACTAGGAAATTTCCGCTTATCTCGATCATGATTCCTTTAAAAAGTTTTATAGGACAGTGTTTGATAGTAACTAATTAATTGTACAAGTTGTTAATTTATAGTCTAATGAATACTCACTTAACAGGTAGAAATTCGTGTACATGGCTTCAAACTACAGTATAAGTGTACGAGATACTACTCAGTCCTCTAAACTGAAGTAAATTTAAGGAGTTCAAATGTACGACTTATTGATAGAAAGTCAAACACTTTAATCATTAAGCCTCCGTTCCACACTTCAATACTAGTGTCTAAACCATGTTAGCATTATGTGTTGGCAGCAGGTAAAACGACATAAATAAATAATTCTTTTTTCTCTTATCCATTTAATATTTGTCTTTATTTTTTAATATTTAAATATAGAATGCTGACTATTTTTGGAGACCATATCTAACAATTCAAGCTGATGTTGGTACAACCCTAAGAGATTTATCACTTGAACTACAAAATTCTACTAATGAACTAAATTGTTCCACTGAATGGTTAAATATTTTAAAATCACGTGAAATAAAACAAGATGAAGAGATTAAGTAGGTTATTCTCATTGTTTATTCTTGTAAAAATGTATGGTTAATTCAACTAATGAGTTTTCATCCTTTAATTAATGTAGATTAACAATATTTATAGATTAACCCTAATCTTGAGGAATTAAGAAGGGTTTGAACTGTATGGCTTCTTTTCTGATCACTTAACACTGTTAATTCTAAAAATTCATCACAATAATTTTCTTGGTTATGATAGCAGGATGACGAGATGTTTGTAGATAATAATTGTTCACTCAGCAGTATTAACGAACATTGTTTCTCTTTAAATCCTTCAGTTCTGATTGAATTCTGTCTGTCAAACTCTGACATAAATTAGCAAGAACCATAAGTTCAGAGTGCCTTATCAACTGCTTTCAATCATCTAACACAAGCAACTTTTAAAGATCCATCTAAAAGATCTCCGGTCTTTATAAGTAGTTTTGGTTAAAAGAAATTCTGAAGGGTATAGAACATTCATTTGCTTTGCAATAAAAGTATTCTGCCTACCCTGTTAATTTTAGCCGATGAATTATAAAGTTTATTATTTTTAATCAATGGAAACTATCCAGATCAACTTTTACATATTTAAAATTTTAAATGGAGGTGATTTATATTACTTTTGTCATTAGAGTTGCATTACACATTTTGTAGTGTCCGTTGATATGTTCAGCCCATACAGCTTATTCTACCTCCTGGACAGGCCGATCTATTCGTTCTTCTTGAGTCACGTTTTGACCTTATTAATTATTCACTTAACAAACCTGATTGTTTTTATATGATCGCGTGTGTACAGCTTATAGTACTCATCACACGTCTGTAGCGTATTTTTGCGTCACTATAAATATCGATTAACGCTTGGTTGATGAGAGTTGGTTCACATGCCTTCTCCACTGCGCATCATTTCGTTTCGCTTCGTCCTTTTGATCGTCTGCCTGGATCAATGATTGTACAATATATACGTATTCGAAATCCGTTCTCGTATCTGACATATTTTAATTCCGTTATTCACTAACATGAGTTAAGTCGATAATTATATGCGAGGATAGGCGATATATATATTTCGATAGCGATCAACATATGATCTAATTGGAGTCAGATATCGGGCCACTAATGTGGTGAGCCTGTCGATAACATTGTCCGATCTTATCGACGTCTAAATAATGGACCACAACTTTTTTGGCTTTCGTACTTCCATAAGTTCATATTCTTAATCGGTTCATGAAAAAAATCCAATTGTTGAAGTTTATTAATCAAGTTAGCTGATCATATTTTCGTGTCCATCAGGTTTAATACATTTGAAAAAATCTCGAAAATTCGTATATTCCAGTCTAAAATCCCGTCATTTAGAAAAAAACTTCAGTCATATTGTTGGTTTGAATGGTTTTAACATTCTGTTTGTTGGTTCTAAACTTCAAGATAATCAATGGTAATCTCAGTATTCATCATATCTTTTATGTTTTCCTTTCAGACTAAGCTGTCAAGTAGAAGGTATTGAGCATAACAATCCACTTTCCGTTCTCTGGAAGTTGGAACATTATGGTCTACCAACTGATTCTTCCGAAGATAGTATTATTATTGCTGATGGTGGAGATTTTGTAGGATCGGCAGCATATATTGTACGTCCAAGACAACCGTTATCTTGGTTAGATCCAGGACCATTTGGAACGTTAGGTGTTGGTGGAGGATTCGCATTAGGTGCTAAACTATGCCGCCCAAATGTAAGTTTCTACAAATTATTTATTAGGGATTATATATAAATGAAACAAATTAGGTAATTTGGGTTTAAACATATGACAGCTGCATTTCTCCTATATTCCAAACACATTTTTAGAGTTTTACTGAGTTATAAGATTATTTCTTTTAGCTTCAGAATAAAATTCAGTTTTTTATTGGTTTTATTCTTACGGATTTTGTTTCTCATATTAACGGGTAAGTTCAGCATATTGTAGAGATTTTAATTAACCAACTAAAATGCTCATCTTTAAAATGAATATTTATACTTCCTCTTGAAGGACTATTTCTAGAAGTTTCAATAGAAGTCGCAGATATTCCATACAACTTTCAACGATAAATCCATTTCTTCTTGTTGATGATGTTGGTTTCTTTATTCTTCTTTTCTTCGTTTTTCTGTTAAGTATTTCAGTTGTACAGTATGACGACTTAAAATTTCTGACGTTTAACTGTCAACTACTTGAGTTAATGTGCTTGTAACAAGATGATCATTATGATTATAAACATTTGAAAATATTTTATATACGACAGAATCGGAAAATTCCTGTAATCATATGCCTCGATAACTATATCCCGAACACAAACAAAGAAAAAGACGATAATGATTGGAAGCGAAATTCCGCTTTAACGTAAACTGATGTACAAAAGTGAGATGTTTATGCTGATTATCTACCAGAAGGGAAATTGTGTTAATTATGACTAACTGATTCACCGTGCAAGAATATAGCAACGATTCTTGATGGAATGTCTACAACTAATGGTGTCTGTTACCGTAGTATCCTTCAATAAAAGCGGAGTCAAAAATGAGCTTGTCAATGGGTCCATATTTATAAAAACAGGCATTAATGTAGGCGAGTCTAATAAGAAGAGGCATTAAAATGGCTCTTCAATAATATAATAAAATTAACTCTTAATACATTAACTGAAAAAATATAACAACTCAAGAACAAGTTTCAAAATGTTCTGTTATGACGTCGTATAGATGTAAATCTAATTTTATAATAGTTTGATATAGCTTAGTGTACGAGCTTAAACTATGTGGTATTCCGCGTTAATAGTCTAGTATATGTATGTTTCTACAGTGTACAATTAGTTTGGTGCGCATTTCCACCTTTCTGTATTTCCTTTTTCCATATTGCTTCTGAATTCCTGAAACATCACTTTATTTTTAGTTCATCATGACTGTTCTTTTTTAGAGCATCAATGAATTTTCATGTGCACAGATGAGCGGCACTAACGAATGAGTTGAGTGAAGACTCTCTCCCACCTCCCCATCCCATAGATCTTTTCAAGTAAATCTTCTACAACGAAATCTACCACAGCAAAAATTAGAAAATGCTACAAAACAAGCTGAAATATGATTTATTATATCCTTGTTTCATAACCTAAGGACTCACCAATCACTTTATAATTATGCCCATCTTCATTTTTCCATGTCTATGTTGCAATAATAACTCAACAGTTTGTAATTCGGTTTTTAATAGTTGTTCATTGTCAAAAACTTTTGTTTACTTTTTTCCCATATAGGCTACTGTCTGGGTTATTTATGGTGATGGTTCAGCAGGATATAGTTTAGTTGAATGGGATTCTTTAGCACGTCATCATGCTCCTGCAATTGCTGTTATTGGTAATGACGCTTGTTGGTCACAGATTGCACGTGACCAAGTTACGTTTTTCCGATCCAAAGTTGGATGCCAGTTAAACTACACACCATATGAAGTAATTGGATCAGCTTACTGTAGAAGTGTTGCTCCTGTATCAGATAATTTCATAACTAATAATAGCAATCCGGTTAATGGTTTCTTAGTTGACAAACCTCAGTTGGAACAAATAGTTCATATATTTGATGAGGCTAAACGACTTTCAAATAAAGGGATACCATCTGTTGTAAATTGTCTTATCTCCGCAAGTAGCTTTCGAGAAGGCAGTTTGTCTGTTTAACACACTGTACCTAGTATTTGTTTTTTTGTATATGAATTTCACGTTCATTTCTGACCATGTAAATTTTGCCTTACCATTATATCTATTTACTAATAAATATTTTTCAATAAACATATATCTTCACTAAATAATCTTCCTGTTCAACACTCTGTAACTGAATAATCTGCGGTATTTTTACTCCAATATGTCATTACAATAAACTACAATAGGCTTTCACTACTCTCGTTACCAAATCTTTTGGAATTATTGGAGGCTAATGCTTAGTTAATGTTGGATTACGATGTATATTTGAAACTACTCCCCAGTGTTTACACTTTCAGCAATTTACTGTGTGTATCAGGACTCCTCTGTAACAGCAATGATTTTCATGTACTGAGCTGTCGAGACGATAATTATATTGAGGGATCACTTGACATTATCTGTTTTGTATTAGTGGTCCAGACATACCTGACCCGACGTTTGTCATAAGGTGTGAAGTCTTCAGTCCATCAAGAATGTCTTCGACATTGATGTTTAAACCGTTAGTCTCACTGAATGCTCCCAGTCAAGGGTCCGCACTAGGTCACATCTAGATTCTCTGTGCTGCGAATCTCCCAAAGCAAATAGTCACCTTAGCCTATATACTTCTTGATACATCAACTATCTCCTAAACATATCTTCACATTCCATTTCTGACTCCTGATATGACTGCGTTCGGCAATCGGGAAGCCGGTCGCTTATTAAGGTTAAAAGTATGTCTGCCTTAACGTGGGTTTACGCAAACCCAGTGCAAATCATTAGCGTAAAACACCATAACCTACTATTTGACTCAAGCAAACAGAGGTTAGTTGGAAGACATACTAAATTATCGAGGATAGAATTCCTATCTGGTCAGTGAAATAGTGGTAAACCGGTGACGGAAAGTTCATTTTCTCAACATCCCAAACTCAGAGGACTGATCACAAGGGACTGAATAGTTATTGATAAATGAAGACCAACACGGACTGATGAATATTCAGGCGACCCTACACATTCGTCTACATGATACTGCTCTGTGCTTCATGTGAAGCTAGAGGAAGCAAACCTAATTGACCGCTGAACGTGTGGTGCCTCTGTAGTTCTCATCCGCTCAAATGTCTTTTCTTTGATATCTTGGTGAGATATCCTTATTTCCAGTCTATTATTGACACTTCATTCCTAAATCTTTCTGAATAGAACGTAGAACATGTTTGCAATCACTTATATGTGTGACTCAGTGCTGCGGCCGTTACATTGTCAGGTCATACTGATTTACCACTCTTGGTTTATCTGATGACTATGCTGATTCCCTCGATCGTTATTGGAAAAATAAACATGGGACGTACAAACGAATATTGTAAATAAATTCTCACTACGCAGCCCGTATTTCGATTCTTATAACCGCCGTCACGCGGTTGTTCCTTCTATCCTGAACAGTATAAGATTTGATACCTGATGCTATTAATAGGTTTTACCTTTTAGTCGGAGTTCACTGATGTTACATTGCTATGGATTTGTAGAAGAAAGCGATTCCATTCAAAACGTAGATAGGTAAAAGAACACAAGTGAACATTAAACGTTTCAACATGCTTACGAGTTCAGAGTATACAAAATTCAGGAAAAACTCAAAACACTGTATTATTTATTGTCAAAGAAGGAGCATCACGTTTAAGATCTTTTCCGGTTAATTCTCGAAGCACGACTGATTGACATACTCTCAACATATGACTCAAGTAGCAAGAAAGCCAAATTTCGACTATGATATCAGACATTTGTTAGTAAATTACGAGCTGTCAATCCAGATGTTCTGTTCAACAATAATCATAACAAATTTCAAAAGAAGTTTCAAATTTTAGGTTTCTGGGGCAAAATTTTCGTAATGCCAAATAAGAACTTTGTGAGACTGAAAATGTTCAGGGTATAAGTAATAAACAAACAAGAAAAAGGTCTGAGTAAAAACGAACTTATTCGAAATCTAGCTAAAATTATCATATTCACAACAATGATTAACAGTCAATTACATATGTTGGATTCTTCTTGGAATAAAGTGACATATCGAGTATCGTGTAAAATTACGCCTACATTCTCTTCTGTGGCGATAAGTGTAATACTTAAATCACTTAGAAAGTACATGATGAATGCTTCAATAAAATTCCCCATTAGCATCCTCTATTTTCTGGTACCGAGAAGTAGGTGTTTTGTGATACTGCAATCCTATATTATATTCACATTTTTGTGCGATCCCACGATAAGGACTGGTATCTTGTAACTCCAAATTTTGGAATCATTCTGTATAATGGTGTTCAGGAACATGTGGCACAAAGTGGTTGTTCACCATGCAGCAATAAGTTCTGTGACCAGTAAATGGGTCATCTAGCATTTCAGGCATATCAAACAAAACAAAGCAAGAAGGCAGTCATTCAAGATATTCTGAGATAGACGTAATTAAACTGAAATTTCTTAACTGTGAAGATGCCACAGGTATTCGGAGTTTGATCAACAACGTAATTCATAGCTGTGTAGCGGTAAATAAATCCCGAAATAAATAGCTCTGTAAGTGTTCGACATCGAATGCTGACCATATGTTTTAATGAATTCACCTAGCTGAAGGCGCTCGGTCAGGCATCCGCACCAGATCACGTGTAGGAACACCGTGCTCAACAACCCGTGCAATCGCTAGCCAGATTAGATCAGACGATCCTCGATATATTGATAGCCTATCAAATCATAAAATCTTCTACTACCGAGGTTTTTTCAGTCAAAGAAAGGCCTCAAACGTCCCACGTAGAAGTACTTCACGTAAGCGATCTGTCTCTAGACCATGCGAGACGGATAACCCCGACTGATGCTGGTATCATAACCAGTATGGAAAGTCTTCCAGAAATTGCAGAAAACCCTGCAATTTTCCCAACACAAAACCGAGTGACTCGAAAAACAACTCGGGAAACTTACAAGCCGGCACGCGTTAACGGCAACCGTAGCCGGCGAACATAGCCGTCTGCTATTCGTCACAAATGTAACAAAGAGAGTCCGCTACCTCGTCGACACAGGCGTAGAAGTTAGCGTTCTCCCAGCGAATCTTAACGACCGGCTTCACGAATCGGCTTTACACTTACAGGCGGCAAAAGGAAAACCGATTGCTACGTATGGCAAAAGGTACGTTTACCTTAACGTGGGTTTACGCAAACCCATTCACTGGATCCTCGTTGTTGCAGATGTTTCTATGCCAATCATTGGTATGGACCTTCTACAACACCATATTCTAATCATCGATACGCGCAAACGGAGGCTAGTAGACGGAAACACTAATTTATCCTTTTGCATAACTTCCTTTTCTGGTTGCAGATTATCCCCAGTCACAATTAGACATACGATAGACCCTCTTTATCAACCACTACTCGATAAGTACATTGGGATACAACAAACTCAACCGAAACTACTGTGTGTAGCCAGCAACGTTACACATCACACCACGACTACAGGACTTCCTGTATTCTCTCAAGCACGACGACTAGCCCTTGAAAAGATAAGGTTGGCGAAAAACGAGTTCAACGACATGATAGACTTAAGAATCATACGACCGTTAAACAGCCCATGGGCATGTCTGTCGCACATGGTCCCTAAAAAGGATAGCAACGATTGGTGTCCAACTGGCCACTATCGGTGACTGAATGCGAAAACCATTCCCGATCGTTACCCGTTGCCTCACATTCACGATTTGACAGCTACCTTGAAAGGTACAACTGTCTTTTCGAAAATCGACTTGGTTAAAGCGTGTAACCAAATTCCCATGGCCACTGACGACATTCCGAAAACAGCTATCATAACTCCTTTCGGACTTTACGAATTTTTGCGAATGCCTTTCGGTTTAAGAAACGCTGCTCAAACATTCCAAAGGTTTATAGACGACGTTTTCGAGGTCTCAACTTCGTATATGCGTATGTTGACGACTGCCTGATCGCAAGTCCGGACAGAGAAACACATCTCAAGCATCTGGATCTTGTTTTCGAACGACTACAAAAACATGGCATCACTGTAAACACTCAGAAATGACAAGTCGAAACTGACTCATTAAACTTCCTAGGACACACTACAGATGCACAAGGCATCCGACCCCTTAGAACCAAAGTGGCGGCAATTCTGGACTACCCAGAACCGACCACGATCAAGCAGTTTCAAACGTTTAACAGCCTCGTAAATTTGTATAGACGATTCACACCTAAATGCGCGTTACTCATGAAACTTCTTACCGACCAACTTCGTGGAAATGCGAAATCCATCAATCTGGAAGACACCGCACAAAAAGCATTGTCCACAGTAAAGGAACTTATGGCTCAAGCAACAATGCTTGCTCATCAGACACTGAAGCACCCATTAGTATCACCGTAGACGCATCCGACTCAGCAATCAGAGGAGTCTTACAACAATGGGTTAAGAACTTCTAGCAACCATTGGCATTTTTCTCTAGATTGCTAGACACCGAATCGAGGTACAGCACATTCTGTAAGGAACTCCTAGCTATGTATTGTGCTGTACGCCATTTTCAACATTATATCGAAGGTCGCGAATTCACTCTTTTCACTGACCATAAACTGCTCACCTTCTCTTTAAGCTCTTCTTCAGACAAGTACTCTCCCCGTGAGTCCCAACAACTGAACTACATTGCGCAGTTTACTTCAGATATTCACACATTTCTGGAGCAAGCAATGCAGTGGCAGACGCCTTGTCTCAAATAACTTCCTTGAACAGTTTCCAAGGAATCGACCTTCTTAAACTCGCCCAGCTTCAAAATTAAGGCACCGATCTTCAGCACGAGTTATCGTCTACAACTCTTAAACTACGCATCAAACAGATGGGAACAGGTAAGGAAACCTTACTTTGTGACACATCTACAGGTAGGGATCGCCCAATCGTGCCGAAACATTATCGACGCAATGTCTTCAATACATTGCACAAACTTTCTCATCCAGGTGTTCGTGCAACCATCAAGCTTATAGCAGAACGATTTTGCTGGCCTGGCATGAATAAAGACGTGAGGGAGTGGGCACGCTCCTGTGTAAGCTGCCAAAAATCTAAGGTTATCAGACACAATAAATGTCCCTTAGGCTCGTTTAAAACTCCCGATGCT